AAAGATTTATTTATTTATATATCTTTAGTTTTTTAGGCAGACATTATTTTGTTTTTATGTGGTGCTGAGGATCGAACCCAGTGCTTCATGCATGCTAGGCGAGCGTTCTACTACTGAGCAACAACCCCAGCCCACTATCAAGCAGTTTTTAAAGCCTTGGGTAATTTTTTTTTTTTTAATGATGCTGGGGATTAGAACCCAGGGCCTTCTGCATGCAAGGCAAACACTCTACCAACTGAGCTATTTCCCCAACTCCTTGGATAAATTTTAACTACAAAATACATTCCCACTGTTTTGGATAGTTCAACAAATTAGAAAACATAATATTAATACCTGATCAACAGCTCACCCACTTCTAGAACAATATTAACAATGCTATTTCACTGACCTTAACAACCTCTAGGATACGAACAGCACTAGCAAAATCATTTAACCGCCTGCATGCTCGCAAAGCAGCATCAATGATTTTGGGTTCTGGAACCAGATCATAGCCAACAAGAGTGTTCATTCCTGTCAAATTAAAAAGAGGGGCCATGTCAAACCGGAATACCCTCACTTAGACTAATATTTAGTATCTATATCCTTGTTGAATCATGACACATGATTATTTTTGGTACCAGGAATTGAACTTGAGGCCTTACCAAAAGCCACATCTTCTGCCATTCCCCACTACCACCCACCCATTTCTGGGACAGGATCTCACTGAGTAGACCAAACTGGACTTAAATTTGTTGTCTTCCTGCCTTTGCCTTCTAAGTAGCTGGGATTAAAGGCATGAGCCACTGCACCTGGCTAAAMCCTGAGTTTTCTTACATGTAAACACTGTTTTCATTGTAATTATCATTTTCTCTTAAAACAAGAGGGTTATTTTCAACTCAGATCTTTAACAATATAGATTATTTTTGATGCTTTGAAACAGATTCTATTGGAAAAACAATCTGGACTGAGTTAAAATTATAGTATACTTACAATTAGTGACTAGTTATCATTAATGCTACTTATTTATCATTAAAACTGCAGCTTAAAAAAAAAAGTTTTAAGTCTATTCAGACTAGATTCTTATTCAGGGCAAAACCATTCATGACAAAGAATTACAAAAAACTCAAACTATTACCCCAAAGGGCAAGAGAACCAATAACTGCTTAAGTAAATTATCTAAAAAGTACAAAATTGTTAAGTACACTCAGCTAGTGCTATCTTTATAGCAGTGGCTTTCGATTAGGGGTGATTTTATCACTCAGGAGACATTAGGCAGTATCTGGAGATATTTCTGATTTTCACAACTGCAGGTGTATATGTAAATAATGGGTAGGTCAAGGATGGTCCTAAAACACCCTGTAGTACAAAGGATAGCCCCCTACAATAAAGAATTATCTAACTCAAAATGTCCATAGTGCCTGCTTTTAAACTCTACTTTACACGAAACACTACAGAAGCTATAAACTTTCCTAACTGCAAACTGCATGACTGTAACCAGTTTATATGATGCATGTTTTCAAAAATAGCTACTTTCAACAAAGTAGTGGAAAAAGTCCGTATCTGCATACCAAAATAGACAAATATGTCTATGTTCCAATTACCTTTACGCAATTCCCAGGCATCTATATCTGGTTTATTGAAGTATGTCACCCAGCGAGCATCAAACTCCTCGTCTGTCTCATGGGACCCATGGGAATAGCAGCGAACTGAYGGGATTGCTACAATGGAGAAAGAGCAATGAGTTCAATGTACAAAAACAGTATTTGACATATTTTGTCTAATGCCTTGAGGGTTTATTTATTTATTTATTTATTTGGTACGGGGATTGAATTCAAGGGTGCTTAACCACTGAGCCACATCTCCAGCCCTTTTTTATTTTTTTATTTAGAGATAGGGTCTCACTAAGGTGCTTAGACCCTGGGCTCTGTTGCCTAGGCTGGCTTTGAACCTGGGATCCTCTTGCCTCAGCCTCCAAAGCCTCTGGGATTACAGGAGTGCACCTCCATGCCTGGCTAATGCATTGAGTTTTGAATTAACTATATATTGTGGTTAAAAAAAAAAAAAAATCCAACAGGTCAAATGAAATAAATCTTGTGTATTGATATAAAAAGGTATCTTAAAAATTAAGCAAAGAGAGGGCTGGGTTGTAGCTCAATGATAGAGTGCTTGCTTGGCACATTTGAGGCACTGGGTTCAAACTTCAGCACCACATAAAAATAAACAAATAAAATAAAGGTACTGCATCCATCTATATCTAAAAAAATAAAATAAAATAAATTAAGCAAAGAAAAGCAAGTAGAACAAAAAGTATTTTATGGGTACATGTATGCTTCCTGCCTCTAATGTGTAATGGTAGCTTGAAATTGTTACCTGGGTGTGGTGGCGAATGCCTATAATATCAGCAGCTGTACAAACTGAGGCAGGAGGACTACAAGTTCAAAGCCAACCTCAGCAATTTAGCAAGGCCCTAAGCAACTTAGCCTTAATAAAGTATAAAAAGTKCTGGGGATATAGTGATTAAGCACCCCTGAGTTCAATCCCAGGTACCAAGAAAGAAATCGTTAACGATGGTTGGGAGAGGAAAACTTTCTTCAGTGTCTCCCAAGTAACTGGGATTATAGGAGTGTGTCACAGCACTGGGCAAAACTTTCTATATATACTTCCCTACTGTTTGAATTTTTACCATAAACGGTATTAATTTCTAATGAAAAAGAATTTTGGGTCAGGATACCAGTGGCTCACAGAGGCTGAGCCAAAAGGATTAAAACTTCAAGACTAGCCCAGGCAACAAAGCAAGATTCTGTCTCAAAATAAAATAAAAAGGACTGAGAATGTCCAACCTGGGAAACAGGTTAAAACTCTGTCTCAAAAAAATAAAAAAGTAAACAAGGCACAGTGGTGCACATTTGTGATCCCACCAACTCAGAAGGCAGGAGGATCACAAGTTCAAGGCYAGCCTCAGCAACTTAGGGAGATTCTGTCTCAAAATTAAAAATTTAAAGGGTTGGGAACATAGCTTATTGGTAAAGCATGCCTGAGTTCAATCCCAAGCACCAAATAAATAAATAAAAAAGAGAAAGTCCACACTAGTTCTGAAGTAAATCTACAATGTATACTTACATTGGTTTATCTTTTTTAAAAAATCTATATGCCAGRTACAATGGCACACACCTGTACTCAGCTATTTGGAAAAATGATCAAATTTGAGGTAAGCKTGGCCAACTCAACAAAACTGGTCTCAAATAAAAAATAATGGGGTTGGGGTTGTGGCTCAGTGGTAGAGCGCTTGCCTAGCACGTGTGAGGCCCTGGRTTTGATCAGCAGCACCTCATAAAAATAAACAAACAAAATAAAGGTACGGTGTACAGCTAAAAAATAAATAAATAAATATAAAAATTAAAAGGGTTGGGACGTAACTCAGTGGTAGAGTCTCCCTGGGTTCAATTCTCAGCACTGCAAAAAAATTAAATTAAAAAGAAAAAGAATTTACATGCTACATTTTTTTTGAAAACTAAAGTTAAAACAATAAAACCTAAAGTTATCCTTGAATGCTTAAAAGTGCAAATATAAAGAATGATACAAAAAAAAAAAGATACAACTGCCATGGAAGACTAGGCAATTTCTTATCAAATTAAACACACAGCTACCATATAACACAGTAAACCACTCTTAAGTATTTATTCACGAAAAATGAAAGTATATGGACTTCCTTCCCAGAGTTAAGTATTAAACTTAACTTTCCTTTTACCCAGAAAAATAAAATGTTTCATAATAACCAATTCCTTTCCTTTATTGCTAGGCATGAATTTGACTAGATGAGTCCTAGCTTTGTTTTTCTAACTCTGAAATAGATGAGCAGCAAAACCACAAATTCAAGTAAAGGAAAGCATGACCCTGAATGATTCAATCACCTCTCTTCAGGTAGTCAAATTACAAACTAGTTATATGCAAAAAGAAAAAAAAMCTTTCATAAAACATTTGTTTGGAATAATACAAGCATGTACTKCGACGATACATCTCTTCCAGGAAGGCAAAAACTGACTTCTCCCACATGGTTTAAACTGTTACTTGGGGTGGGGGAACTATTACCGCAGGGGGAGAGTGGGTTCATAGTGGAGTACAATGAGCAATGGAGTCCACACTCTTGCCCATGCATGGTAACAGTTCTGCTCCACAATAAAATTATGTTTCTAACTCCAGTAGAACAGATCTATTTTGTTAGCTATAGACATGTCCCCTACATATGTAACATTTTTTTAGGGAAATTATATAGGCATCCCACCACAACAATACTTAAGCACAACATTTCCACCTAGTTTTGAGGCTTGAAAGGCAAAATATTAGAAAACAACTATTCAATTCTTTGATATAACCTGAAACGGGGAAGCAGCTATGAAAAATGGGAACACTGTCACCCCACCACCACTGGGAATTGAAACCAGGGGCACTCTACCACTGAGCTATACCATCAGCCTTTTTTATTTTCCATTTTGAGACAGGGTCTCACYAAACTGGTGAGGTTGAACTTGAACTTGCCACTCTTCTGCTTCAGTATCCTAAGTAGCTGGGATTACAGGTGTGATCAGGCCACTATGCCTGACCAAAAATGGGAACATTTTAAAAAAGCTTTTATGAGGGCTGGGGTTGTAGCTCAGCTGGTAGAGTATTTGCCTAGCATACGAGAGGCACTGGGTTCAATCCTTAGTACCACATAAAAATAAATAATAAAATAAAGTTATTGTGTCTGTATACAATTTTTAAAAATATTAAAAACAAAGAAAAGAAAAAAAATTTCTAGGAACATTGCTTCAGTTATTTGCTCTATTTAAAAAACCACCACCCTCACCACACAGTTGGCTTTCTGTTTAATAACTAATCAGGCTCAGACAAAGCTGAAGGAATGGTCATTTTGGTGGTAGTAATTCTAGGAATTAAGGATGGCAAAACATAATGTGGAGGCAACAATAACAAGTTCAAGAGCAAGTTTTTTKGGGGGGAGGGAGCTGACATGGACAGACAGAATGCCTTTATTTTATTTATTTATTTTTTATGGGGTACTAAGGAACCCAGCAAGCGCTTTTCCACTGAGCTACATTCCCAGCCCAACAGCAAGTTTTGATGATGTTGACAAAGCAAGGTTGAAGACCAGGCATGGATCTTGAGAGCCTCAAGTTGGGAACCTGGAAATGTGGGAGTGGTACAAAAAAGCAGTTGGAAAGTGTTGTTTAAATTCAGCCCAATTCTAACCCTTCTGAGCCTTCTGCAGCTCTCAGGAAAAGGATACAGGAGTCAGGATTTTAAGAGTTGACTACAGAATTTAACCATTATTTAAAACATTAAATCACCTAATTTTGCAGTTATTGGGAAACAATTAGGTTTCAAATTGGAATCTTCTTCATGGACCAGATTTAAGCTGTTACCTAAGGCTTCTCAGGCCAACCCCTCAAAATTTCTCTTTCAAACATACTCATTTGACCYTGGATAGCCTCAATTAAAAAACTTACTTCTAAAAAATRTATAAGGGCTGGGGTTATGGCTCAGTGGTAGCGCACTTGTCTGGCATGCATTGAGGCACTGGGTTCGAGTCTCAGCACAACATATAAATAAAATACATAAATAAAGATCAATCAACAAATATTTTAATAAAATAAAAAATAAATACAAAAGAAACTTACTTCTTTTTGACTTTCACTTAAGTAAGACCTCTACAGTTTCATACTGATAACAAATTTCAACCTACTATATGCAAAAATAAAATTCACTATTATAAAGCTACAATTCATGCACTGCATAGCAATGTTTCAGTGAATGACTTTAAGCTTCAAAATGGACTACACCATACATATAATCTAGGTGTGTAGTAGGCCATACTATCTAGGTTTGTATAAGTATGCTCTATGATAGTCTCACAAAATTGCCTTAGGCTGAGGCATTTCAGACCTTATTTCATCCTTAAACAAGGCATGACTGTATTAAATATTTGTGTCAGGCAAGGTGACAAGTTATTTAAGGTGACAAGTTATTTAAATGAGTTAAATCTCATTTAAATACCAAAAATTATCCTGATTTTAGAAAGGAAGCAACTGAGGCTTAAAGTTAATGAACATGTCCAAGGTCACAGATAAAAAGTAGCTGACACCACTTGTACTGATACTGCCTCCTTGTGGCTAATATTTAGGTATATGGGACAAACACCTAAAATAAAGCCCTTGGTTTAGGAATTCATTGTACTCAGGAGGGTGAACAGAATATCTGAGAGACAAACCACAAAGAAGAAATCTCCTTAGGCTACAGTTTGCCAAAAACCTGTGCCATTTCCCAAAGAAAAAGTAGAAACTTATTTGTTTCAAGAAATTTTTTTGAAGAGGTCAAAAGAAACCTCCTGCAGCGTTATTTACATGAAAAAAAAATTAAAATAATATTAGCTACTTTAACAATTAAATAAGGAAAAAAAAAACCATGAAACATCACCATGGGTCAAACCTAACAATTATGGCTAAGAAACAAAATATTTCCCCCACTMCTGAAGGAGTCAGTTTCCAGAGGTAGGTCTCAGTTTCCTCTTTTGTATGTGATTATCCCYGTGGTATCTCTTTTTAAAAAAATTTTGTACTCAGATAAACAGAATGCCTTTATTTATTTTTACCAGATGCTAAGGATTGAACAGTGCCACACACATGCCAGGCAAGTTCCCTGCCAYTGAGCTACAGCCCCAGCCCTCCATGGTCTCTTAAGTGAAGCCTTATCATTCTATGAAACTTTACAAAAAAAAGTCTAAACTGAATGAAACCAAAAATATTCTTTAGATTCTGAAGTGTCTAGTTAAAGTATCTTAAGTTACCAAGAAAACGTTTTTAATTTTGAATTTCAAAGTTTTTATGTTTAAATATGCATGCATAGGGCACAAATTTCATAATATAGCATATACTACCACCAGGAGCCAAGATTCAAGTGTAGTTACTATAATTAAAAGTATAGTGCTGGGGCTGGGATTGTGGCTCAGCAGTAGAGCGCTCACCTAGTGCGGGTGCGACC